ATAATTTAGCTGTTTTTTGTTTTAAGTTCCCCTGTGGAAATCTAAGGGATCAAGTAGTAGCATAAAGCAGGAGGCAGTGTGATGCTTAGGGAGGTGTCAGGGTGGTCAAGAGGCAGACAGAACAAGGAGAAGCCTCTTCTGAAGAAAAAGGTGAGGCACAATAAGGCTGTTCCTGGGTGTCTTGTTCTTGGCTGAAGTGGTCAGTAGATGGTTCCTGGAGTGTGAGAGTTTTATAGAACAATGCTTGGTAGCGGATGGAGTCTGGACCATTTGGTTCATGCGTGAATGACACACCCACCTTAGGAAGTCAGCTGCTATCTCTGGGGATTGGCTAGAGAAAGGCAGTCCCTCCAGGTCAGCCTGGTTCCAGATGCCAAAACATCAGAGTCCAGAATAGAGTACAATTTTCTACCTACTCTTCAATACGAAGCTGATCAGGTCATATACAACTAGAGATAAAATGGGAATTTGAAGATCACCCCAGTCGAAGTGATAGTCTTCAAGAAAAAGACAAGAAGAAAGTAAAGTGAGCACTTCATCTAGACTGGGATGGCCAGTATTGCTCATCTCAGTCCAGAGAGAAGAAAGGCACCAAACTTGACTGCTTATTGTTGCTTTTATCTAAATTTATTTAACGATTTTTACCAACAAAGACTCTGGAGTCAGAGGCTGGGGTGAAAACCTACTAGTTCAGAGAGGTTGAGGAGCAACTAACTGAACTTCCTCCTTCACTGGCATCTCAGAAAAAGAGGGTTCTTCTGCCTCTCCAAACCAAAAAAAAAGACCACCACACTCAAAGTCCTTTCCTACTATTTCTTGTGCTTCTCTCTATCCATCTTCTGGACTCCCTCTGACTCTCTCTGACTAGTTTCTGTCGACTAGTTTCTGGCTCCACCTCCTTATCCAAGGTTGATTTTATTTAATTAACAAAATCTCAGGTTTCACAGTGTGACTGAATATTCCCAACAACAGAGACAATCATAATATAACTCCATTTCAATGTTTATTGCAGGGCAATAAAAAAATCTTCTTTAGAGGCCACGCATGCAACTTACTTCTCTGTCCCTTTAAGGTAATGGTCAACAGCCAGGAAAAGTAGACAAAATGGTTTTGTAGAAAAGAGAAGTCGGTTTAGAAGTGGGAGCTTGAACTTTCGTTTACTCTAAAAACATTAAGTCACATTTTGTTTAATTTTACCATTGATCTTTATTTCTGACTTTATACATTTTCTCCTTCCTCTTCAATGCCGAGCAGAAAGTGAATGGTGGCTCTTGCTTAGGTCTTCAAGAGAAGAAGCAACTCCTAGCTCATGCTAGCAGCAGAAATTGAGCCCCCCCCCCCCCGCGCTTTTCCTCTGATTCAGTTCCTTCCCAGAGAAGGAAAAACAGTCGTTTTTGGTCATGATGATGACAGACAGTGTGATGATGATGATGATGATGATGATGATGATAATGATGATAACCTATATCATTGCCTTATATTGTTCCAAACTGTTTATAGTTTTGGACTCATATCCCACTTAGTTATTATAGCACAGTTTGGTTATTGACCTCCATCTTCTAACTCAGGGAACAGAGGTTTCTCAAGCTGTCCAGCTGGCTTTACAATAAAACATTCAGATCTTAGATTCAGAGCTTAATACTCTCTCCATCTCCACAGAACCATCTCCTTGCATCACAGCCGTTTCCTGGAATAAAGATAATCTAGCCTCATTCACAAGGGAGCAAGCAATATCTGTGTGAGTGTAGGGCCTCCATGAGATGGTGAGTGTTCGCTGTCTGTACACTAGTCTATTTGCATAGCCCAGGATTGGGTCGTGGAAATACTGGGTATGGAAAGATTGTCTCTGAAATATAGAAGAGAGCAATGGATCAAGGTGTAACTCTGCCATATGTGAGCTGTGTGACTTGGGTACCACTCTTAGCACTCTGATTTTCAAAGGCAATTGTTGGGCTGAGTAGTCTCTAACAGTGTTCTCCATATAAATTGCTTTTGTCAGTAACCAAATCAAGGACAGTACTGAACAGAGAGTTGCTTGAGTGTTGTACAGCTATGAAAATATTAGTCTATTTGCTTTTTTATTTTTTTCTATAAACCTGAAGCTAGTGAATCTTTGAACATTATTTGTGGATATTCCTGGATGCTAAGGGAACTTTCAAGACAAACTGAATGATTAGCAAGGAGAATGTTATAGAAGGCAATGGGAGCAGAGGACAGGGAGGCATGTGAGGACTTATTTGTTTTGGTTCTAGAATTTCCATTTTGAATTTTTGGGTATCAGTCCAGAGCACTATTGCCTTTCTAGCAAGTCTTTGGAAACATGGGAGGGCAGTTTTGCCATCAATCTAGCTAGAAAATTCCATCTGCATGTGTTGGATGAAGAATGCTGTGACTGAAATTTTGGGTCCTTCATACACAATGAAAAAATTATCCTGTCCCAAATGTACTTACATCTCAGGGCAATAAGGACCAAAAGAAGACTGTGTTGTTGAAAATATAGCAAAAACTTTTGGTATATTTTTCTGAATGTTGATCAATAAATTATTCATTAGCTGGGGAACCTGAATACTGCTCATACAGAATCAAAAGCAAATAGACAGTTCTGGTAAGAACTGTGTAGTGACTGTGTGGCATTGGCCAAGACTTGCCTTTTCTTTAGACCTCACTGTCCCCATCTTTACAGACTAGAAGAAATGCTTTCACTTTGTGTATGTGTACTGCCTTTAACCAGAATGCATAAGTTCAAAACAAAAACAAACAGAACAGGCCATATGGAAATGCCACAGTGAAACCCTTAACATTCACAATTTGTATGCAGTAATAATTATGATAGCCCATACAAGGTGATCCGTGCCTGTGGGAGGCAGAGGCAGGAGGAGCATAAGTTTGAGGCCAGTCTGAGCTACGTAGCAATTTCTAACTAGTCCCGTTACATGAAAAGACTGTCCAGAAAACAACAACAGGTAAACAAAAAGAAGTAAACAGGACTAAGTGATCTCAGGTAATAAATTATGATCTTAACTTTTAGAATTTTCTCAGAATTATGTATGAATATTTGAATTTTATCAGATCTAAGTACTCTGTTCATGAGCTACCCTGGCACAGAAATCTGTTCTACAAAGGAAGGTTGTCTGGAAATAAATAAGGATAATTCTAAACCGTGGGCAGAGTCAAAATAGCTTAGCTAAAATATATTTGGGGGGTGGTGCTATCGAAGAGCCATGGCCCTCAGAGGTCCTGCCAGTGCTGGGACACTGAATTATAAAACAGAAAACAAAGGCTCTCCATCCTCCTAATGCCCGCCAAAGTCACTCTGAAGACAGCTCTCAGCAGCCCAGAAAAAGTGTTAACTGTCCTTTGAATTTTTCCTTTTCTAAAAAAAATGTCATGTTTGTGCTCTGGTTTAAGATTGTGAAATTAAGTGGAAAATCATACAACTAAACTGGGAAAGCTTCAGAGACTTGGACTGCGTGTTGTTGGATGTTAGGCGTTTGTCTTTTGTCTTATCCCTTCCGAAGGCTTCTGTTTCATTTTGTCTCACTTTGTACTCTCACTCTGGAAGAACTAAGTGTGTTCTCTTGCTGCTATGACTTGCGGCCTCTATTTTACCCCTTAGTTTCAGTAGGAATGGTGACCCGAGAAGCAAAGAATTTGACCCCAGAAAATAGCAAGGGGATGAGAGAACTGGCTGTGAGCACGGGATTAATACCCTGTGGATCCAGGGCCAGGGTGACTTGCAATAGCTTCTGGGCTGTGCTTTAGCTGGGCCTCACATGTGGCAGTGCCCCACTGCTCTGAGTAGTGCAGGCAGGAAAAGGGAGAAAGCCTGACCTTAGGCATCCTACAAGCCCAGTGCTTCTCATGTGTTGTCGTGACTGCTACTTCACCAGCCTTGCACGAAGGCACTTAGGTCCTCATTGTGCAGACGAGGAACCAGAGTCCTGGGAACTGTAGTGATAGCACAAGAACATATACTTTCTAATCTGACTTCAGTCAGTTTCCAAACCGTTCATAGTGTACTTCCTAATTTATGGGGTCTATGAAATCTTGGACAGTTCTTACCTTTGTGAGCTCCTCCTGGCTCTAGAGGCTCTCAGGAGACACCTACTGGTTCTCAAGACTCTGGGGACACCCGAGAGATATATCTAGTGTGAGGGTTATGGGTCAGGTCTTGACTTTTCCATTTAACCATTGGCATCTAGTCAAGTATTTTTGTTTTTTGTTTGTTTGGTTGGTTGGTTTGGTTTGGTTTGGTTTGGGTTGGGTTGGGTTTTGTTTTGGTTTCTTCAAGACAGAGTTTTTATCTGTGTAGTTTAGCTGTACTGGAACTCCATTTGCAGACCAGGTTGGCCTCCAACTTACAGAGATCTACCTACCTCTGCCTCCTGAGTGCTGGGGTTGAAGGTGTGCACCACCACCACCGGCCTCTGGCTAAGTTTTTGTGTGTTGGGATCCCCAGTTTCCTCACTGATGGTATGGATACACTATGTGCTTCCCAAGGATTGCTGTGACACAGAAATGATATACATATGACAGTGCTCTGTTTGTGGTGAGTTGTGATTATTCTAACTGGCCTCCTGTTATCCCATGTCTTCTCACCTAATATGTTTCCTCCTGAAGCTGTCACAGGACCATGGAAGGAGAGGATTAGAGGAAAAAATAGGTCTTAGAGCAGAACGGATCTGAAACTCTGTGATCCGGATCAAGACCAGCTCCCCTACTGCTTCTCAGCATTTTGGCTAAGATCAAGCAAAGACAGTATCCACTGAGCCTCGGACCTGAGTTCCAGGGACTCTCCTTCAGTGCAGGAGTAAACCTCAGAGCCGTGAAGAGGCATAGCTCAGGCCTCTTTTCTGGAGCAGAGTCGGGTATAAGAAGGGTTATGTTAATGAAAGATCCAGAACTTTCAGGATGTGTTAGTATCAACAAGAAAATAGGTCTTTTCATTATTCTTCAAGATTAATACTAGTAATAGCACAGAATTTGGTTTATACACTGCCTGAGATTTGCTGGCTGTAATTATACTGCTTAGATTATATCTATACAACACTGAATCTGTTTAATATTTTTTACTATGAACAAATTTTATTCCTCCATTACCTCTTTCAACAAATGTATGTCCTCCATGTGGAACACAGTGTGTGTCACTAGACGTTCTGAAATAAAGAGACCTACATAGTTCCTGTCTTCAAACACCACATGGTCGTGATGTAGAAGCAAGCAATTAAGCAAGAAGACACAAAGTATAGGGGAGGGTCAGACCATCAAGGGGGCAGCAACTGCCCCACAGAATCCTGACTGACTTGGGAATGTTTACACCAAACTCAAGTCTCTGTGACTGTTTTAGTCCGTCCAAGGGGGCTCTACCAGGGGCTGTGGCTTTCCTGAGCCCATTAACTGTAGGCGTCTGTCAGCTGATGTGGCAGTGGACAGGTCCCCTCTTAGACATTTTGCTCAGAGAGAGAGAGCAGGAACAGTCATCCCCGCTTCACCTTCTAGTCCTCACAAAGACGATGTGAAGGGGTTCAAGACAGGAGAACAGGGAGAATGAGGACTAAGGGAAAAGGTACAAGAAAAAGGCACCGTTCTCATTGTGTTTTCCATTGAGCACTGCACTGAGAATCTCACAATGTAGTACACTCCATCATTCATTTTTCACAACAGCTCGATGGGGTCTGTATACAGGATGTGCCCATCTTCACAGGAAGGAAGAAAGTGCAGTCAGTCATTCGTAAACCTGGCAATGGCAGAAATAAGATCTGAACCCAAGGATATATAGTTGGTCATTTCCTTTCTTTTAAAACAACACATTTATTTGTATGTGTATATGTGTGTAGTTGGATGTTTTTCTCTATCCCATTGGTCTCCTTGGACCAGTTTCTCTCCGGCCCACCAGGTCCCCAAAGCCAATTATGGAGTAATAACTCAGAGGCTAATATATTAAATACAGTTGTTTGACCAATGGCTCAGGCTTCTTAATGGATATCTCTACCTATAAATTTACCCATTTCTAATATTCTGTATTTTACCATGAGGCTTGTAACTTGTTACCTCACATCTTGCTTCTCCAGCAACTACATGGCATTTCCTGACTCTGTCTTCTTTCTCTCTGTAACTCTGAATTTCCTGGCTAGCTGTATTTTGCCTGTCCATTGATCAAAACATTCATCAACCAATAAAAACAACACATATTTGCAACATGCAGAAAGACATCCCATATCATGCGGGCACACGTGTCACAGTGTATATGGGAGGAGTCAGTTCTTTCTATCTTCTGGTCCCAGGGATTGAACCAAGGTCACCCACCAGGCTTGGTGGCAAACAGTGTTAGCAGTTGAGCCATCTTGCCAGCCATGGTAATTTCTCATTAAGCCTATTTTTCCATCTTTTTTATTTTTCTTTTTAAATTCCCCCAAGGACAAGAGTGAGAGACACTATTCCTAGAAAGGGCCTTCAGGCAGAATGAAGACAGAGATCCACGGTAGGAGTTATGGCAAGGGGAACATGAGGAAATAAGTGCCATGTCCCAGTCTCTCCCACCTTGTCAGCCCCTGTCCTGGCTTTTGTCTGTCACAGTCCAGTGCCCACACCCTTATCTTCCATGCTGCAGCTCCAGGACTTTGGGTCAGCCTGCTCGGTGCCTCATTTCTAACTGCTGACTGTTTCTTGCAATCAGAATTCTTAGTATCCCCGCTGTGCCTGGGACTCAGTGTTGACGATGTTGCCTGGGAAAACAATTATCCCAGACCCTTCCATTGTAAAGAGTGCACTGAAGAGCAAACCGAAGGTTGCAGAGCCGGTCAGGACCTCAGCAAGATGGCCAGAGTCTTGTTACTTGGCTACCCCTGGGCATTTATGAATTCTTTTTTATTACATCTGTGAAATGAATCTCAATGGGAGTGAGCATTCAAGCTAGCTGTATGCTTGGAAACCCTTCACTGAAGGAAGTGCTCTGTACTTTCAAGTCCACACACGGAAGACCTCAGTGTCACTGGATTTGAAAACAGCAGTTTAAGAAAGGTAATTAAGTTGAAGTGAGGTCACAAGGTAGGGCCTCGTTGGGGAAGGAGTGGCTTGGGCTGTGTCCTTGAAAGATTGACTGGAGAGAAGGCTTAGTGGTTAAGAGCACTGCAAGCTCTTACAGAGGACCTGGGTTGAGTTCCCGGCATCAAACAGGGCAGTTTACAGCCACTTGTAACTAAAGTTCCAGGGGATCTGACACCCTCTTGTGGCCACATTGGACCAAAGCATGCATATGCTCACACATAAAATAACTTGTTTTTGTTTGGTTTGGTTTGGTTTGATTTTTTAAAACAGGGTTTCTCTGTGTAGCTAGCACTGGAGGCTGTCCTGGAACTTGCTTTGTAGACCAGGTTGGCCTCGAACTCACAGAGATCTGCCTGTCTCTGTCTCCTGAGTGTTGGGATTAAAGGCGTGCGCCACCAATGCCCGGCCAATTATTTTTTTTAAGGTAAGAAAAAAAAAAGAGAGAAAGGAAGGGAGGGAGGAAGGGAGAAAGGGAGAAAGAGAGGAAGAGAGGAAGGAAGGAAGGAACACTTTTTCTCTTGCCTTTCTGGTTGCTCTTTCTTTTTCCTCAAAAGCTGTGAATCTGCTAGACGGTCCTGCTCTACCATGCCATTCTGGGCCTATGAACAGTTCCTTTCCACAGGCCCAGAAACAACACAACCAGTCACCATGGACTTGTTGCAGGTTACCCTACTCAGACACCTTGGGGGAGGGGGTGAGAAGACTCAGCACCAACAACTCAGACACTGAGAGTCAGTGAGTAGCAAAGCTGCAGGCTTTCTTAAGGAAATTAGACCGCCTTTATACCCCTTCCCAAGGTCACATTGGCTCAGGCGGCTGACTCTGCTTCCTTGTCCTCTCCTCATTGGTGTCTCTGGGTCAGGTGTCTCTCTGTCAGAGTCTCTGGGTGTTGAGGTAGGCTTGGCGGCTTGACTCAGGGAGGAAGAGCCTAGCTGGCCTGGGCACCAGAGACAGGGCAATTGAGGCTTGGGTAGGCTAGCTGAAGTTTCTCCTACATGGACTGAAAACTCTGAAACCAGAAACCAAAGTAAATCTCTCCGCTTTGAGGTTGCTTAGATCAAACACTCAAAGGTTCAGGACTGGGGGTCATACCTCAGCTTGCTGACCCGAGCTCAGAGCAGATGAAGTGAATTTGAAAGGTTAAGGTGGCCTGAGGCTTTGGTTCTGTTGCCTGTGTATGTATTAACTCATCTTAGAGAGCTGCTGTGGTGTTTTTCTCTCCAGTTCCTGCCTTTAACTCTCCTCTGAGCCTCCTTTACTATCTTGCACTAACAAACCAAATAAATTCCCAACTCATATTCACTCTCATTCACATAAGGGTCAGATCGTTGACTTTTTAAACAGCATACAAGGGACTCTCATATTTCAAGAGTATAAAAACCTTTTGAGGGAAGATAAGGTATGTTTGGTTGGGATTTACTTTTCTTGTGAATCCTAGATTTTTCCCCATTCCTACATTAACAGTTTAAAAACATCAGTGATAAGAACAGTGAACTCTGCTAGCTAGAGGTCTTGGATCCTTTCTCCAGCAGACCAAGCCTGAAGCAAACATGGAATTGTGAGTTGCTCTTCCTCGCCCCTTCCTTCCCATTTTATTGTGCTCTGAGATGCTTAACCTGGGCCTGTTATTTAATCCCTTCCTCTCACGTGGTGGGGGTCCCAAAGGACACTATAGTGGCTCACCCTAGGCTATTTGCATCTAAGCAGGGTCTGAAGTTTTAACCTCAACAGTCCTTATTTCTCGGACTTGCCTCTAAACTCCTAAATTACTAATCCCGGTAAATTTCCAGTTGTAGATTAAGATTTGGGAAGATTTCTGCTTGAATGATCAATTACTTAGTGAACATTTGATCCCAAGGAATGAAACCTTAACTGTGGCAGACTCTAATACAGTAGAAAGACCATGAAGCCTGGCTATGTGGGCAAGTTCTTGCTTTGCCTTTTACTAGATATAAAATCTTGTACAGATCATTTGATTTTATGGAGTCTCCTTGTCTGTGACTGTATCTATGCCTTGCAGGAGAATTGTGAGGGTTAAAAACATCACATATGTAATTTTAGCATTCTAGAGGATGGGAGCATGGAAGATAGTGAGTTCGAGGCCAGCCTGGACTACACAGCAAGCCTGTATCTCAAAACCAAAAATATAAAGTGGCATATGATCGAGCTGCTGTGAAAAGCTTCAGGCATTGCCAATTTGCAGTGAAGGAGATGTCTGAGGTCCTCCAGAAAGCAATCCTGAAACTACTCTAATTGTATTGATTAAGTGCTTCCATCGATCCCAGCTATTGATTTTTAACCTTAGTCTATGGACACTTGTTCTCTAGTTACCTTAAATTCCTCTTGCCACCCATCTGCTCCTCCTGTTTCTAATTAAAAATTGGAAGTTGCATGAAAATTCGACAGGAACGGTTTCTATGCAATGTTTTCCCCAAGAGAAGCAGATTGCACTGCTCATGGAGTTGGCTCCCAAACTAATTTAACTCTCAGCCCTAACCTTCGTACAGAACTGTGGGAAGAAAAAATGGAGCTGTGTGAGCCGTGCCTGTTGGACCGCCTGGTGCTTCTGATGGCTTCAAAACGATTATCGTGTCAATAGAAACATCCCCTCTGCACCCTTCCTGCATTTCTGCAAGGAGATGCCATTGGAAATTCAAGGTGTGGGGGGAAGCTGTTCACGAAAATTGTGATCAGGCTAGAAGACAAGGTAAAAGACACCTCGGGGGAGGGAGAGGCAGGATCACGTGATCGAGGGGAAGCAAAAGCAGTGGGGAAAATCCATGTGCCTCAAGTGAGGTAGATTTCATTCTAAAACATAGCCCTTGCTTGTCAAACATCTAATATGTGTGGTATACTTGTTGTATTAATCAAGACAGGTTAATTTCTGTAAAAAAACAAAAATCCGAAATTTCAGTGACTTACTAAATAGTGATTGATTGTTTGTGTTTTGGGACAGGGTTTCTCTGTGCAGCTTTGGAGCCTGTCCTGGAACTCACTTTGTAGATCAGAGTAGCCTCGAACTCACAGAAATATGCCTGCCTCTGTCTCCTGAGTGCTCGGATAAAAGGTGTGCACCACCACTGCCTGTCTGTAGCTGATTTCTCATACCACAGTATGACCAAAAGCAAGGAGAGAAACCTGGGTTGCATTTTGAGAAACTTTAGCTTCTCTAGGACCCTGGAATCATTTGCAAATTGCTGGACAAAGCTGCAAAGGGAGCTCAGATGACAAGGACTCCACAGATTTCTTAAGGTACAGGCCTGATATGGCATATATTTCCACCCACATTCTAAGGGCTAGAACTTAGTCATATGGTTGAGTTAGCTGCAAGAGAAGCTGGGAATGTCCACTGGAACTGACCAGGAGGAAAAGGAAACATCATTTCTGCCATAACTACACATTCTTGCCCCCATATTGAAGATGAAACTGCACTTCAGGCAGGTAAAGTAACTTGTCCAATAGTACCCGGCAAACAGATGGACTGAAGCAAGACAAGTTCTTGGTGTGCTGAGTTCTTGGAGGAGAAGGACTTAAGAACCTGACTACAGCTTATAGTGTCTTGTAGTTGAAGAAGAAACTGTCATGCCTCCTGAGCATTGTCTGACATTTGCAAGACAGCATGTGACTGTTACAGTCTTCAAGACCACAATGGGAAGACAGAAGTAACAATAGTGTGAGGACAGGGGATCCAAGAGTGTGCATCTCTCAGGATCTGATGCTCTCCACAGACATCATCCTGGCCTCCTGGCTTGCTCCCTTATTGTTAGAGGTAGGCTGAACTCATCATGCATCATGGCTATACATGGAATTGTTGCACTCTTCTTCCAGGACATCTTTGAGTCTCCCACTTAATGCCATCTACTGTTGTATAACTCTGAGGATCCCTGCCACATTCTAGACTTGGGGACACCTTCCTTGCTATATGAATGTACCACAGAGGAGCGGTGACCTCTGTGGGTCATCTGAGACATAAGGTGAAGACTATTTCCTGATTCTGTGTTCCAGCTGTGTAGAACTGTGAATAAGCTCCTAAACATACCCCAGGCTTTTATACCCCCTGTCCCCTCTTCATGGCTCTAGAATCGCTGGTGTGGATCTGACCATTGGGAACTTAATTTTAGCCTCCCAGGTAGTTCTATTTTATGGACACAGTTGAAGACCAGGGACAGGATCAGCTTAAGGTGATCAGTCACTCATAGTCTCCTTGATCAGATGGGCAAATGAGATTTGTTACTAACCAAGACAGATGGGACTTTAAGAAGGTCCACTCCCCTGACCTGTTTGTCATCTTCCGGATTGTCCCGGACCCATTCCAATATATGTTCCAAGGCTCTAAAAACATCTTTAGCTGGTTCCCATCATAGAATCAGTTCATGTTATACAGATTTTCCTTGGAGGTTCTCCTTTATGGATTTGAAAAAATGTCTATTCCATGTGCCATTATAAGTCATTAGGGTCACTCTGAGGCCATCACTGGTCTACTGGACATTGGAACCATGACAGTAGCTCTATTTTTCTTTCTGAGTTTAAAACTGATGTAAATAGTAGCACTCTAGGGCTTTTTGGTCATATCTTGAGGCTGTGGAGACTGCTTAATTTTGATTCCTCTTTTCTCTATTCAGTCCATGATGGTGTTAGAATCATTAGTGGCCCTGCCTTCCTGTACCTCCTGTCTGTCCACCACTGCCTGAGTTACGTGTCCAGACAAATGAAGATTGTTAAGGTCTGGGTCACCTGTTACTGTCTTAGTTCAATTTACCTTTCCTGAATGCTTACCATCTCTTTGCCTTTCCATTTCCAAGGTTCTTCTTATATGTTATCCCCTTGAACTTGTGCACAAGAGCCTTGGGTTTTATAGGAGGGAGAAGATTAAACAGAGGATTCTGAGCATAGCATAGTGTGGTAGTTTTGAATGTAATGGGCTCCCACAATCTCACAGGGAGTGGCACTATTAGGAGGTGTGGCTTTATTGGAGTGGGTATGGACTTGTAGGAAGTGTGTCACTGTGGGGGCAGGCTTTGTGGTTTTCTATGCTCAGGATAACACCCAGTGTCTCAGTTGACTTCCTGTTGCCTGTAAGATGTAGGACTCTCAGCACCAGGTCTGCCTGCCACCATGCTCCCTGCCATGCTCCCAGCCATGATGATAACGGATTGAATTTCTGAAGCTGTAAGCAAGTCATCGCAATTAAATGTTTTTTCTTTTAAGAGTTGCTGTGTCAGGATGTCTCTTCACAGCAATAGAAATGCTAAGACAGGTAGGTTAGATGCTGCATCTGCTAATCTAGCTGCCTGGATCTCTTTAAGCATGCCTAGGTATGCTTTGAGGTCAAACTGTGTGTGTGTGTGTGTGTGTGTGTGTGTGCACTCGCGTGCGTGTTCAAAGTTCCATATTCCATGAATGATACAACCAGAAGCTCACACCTGTTTGGCTCAGGCTTTCCAAGGATGGCCAATGAAGGAGGGGAAAGGAGGAGGAGAAGGAGGTGGAAAGAGAATGGAGAATAGGAAGAAAGAGGAGAGAAAGAGAGAGAGAGAGAGAGAGAGAGAGAGAGAGAGAGAGAGAGAGAGAGAGAGAGAGAGAGAGCATTTAAGTCCTTAAGCCTTTAGACTCTAGGACTTTTGAAACTGACCAGTTTTTCTGTTTTCTTTGGTGAAATTAGAAAATTCACCATCCTAGACTCTGCTTTGGAACTCTGGGTCTTGTTCACAAGACTAGTACCTATTAAGAACAAGATAAAGTGTCCCCATCAACAAAATAAAACTTGATAGTCACAATTTAAATAATAAGACAAATGTGGCCTGGCTTCGCTCTAAAGGAGTGTGAAGCAGGAAGTGCCAATGAAGTTTACAAATTATAACAACTTTAGTTCCCTTTCTCAGCTCCTTCCTCCTAGTGCTGATGCACTGAAGTCATGCAGTAATTGTACATTGAGTGCTACTGTGTGGGGAACATTCTGGAAAATGCTGGGAGGTGGTGGGGGGTGGGTCAGGTGGAGTGCCTCCTGTCCTCAGGGAGCTGTGAGGCTGTGTTCTCAGAAGTTCTCCTGGCTGTGTTAGGAGGAATGCAAAAGCATTAAAACAGTTTCCGAGTCCCCCACCCCCACCCCGGGGAGGGGGAACAGAGTAGCAGGAATTCGACTGGAGAGAGAATTATTAATTTGACATTTAAGACTGAAGGACAAGTGTGTAGTTGTCTCACTTGCCCGGGCTTGTTTTCTCCACCTGAGGAGCAGCCAGCATCACTGATTGTCAACTGTTGATGGCAACCTTTCTATTTTTCTCCATTGAAAATGTGTGATTTAATGTGAAGTGTCTATTAGTGTACTATGAGCAGGAAGAATTCTCAGGATAATGAACTTGATTTTCCATTTGAAAAGCAATTCACATTCACAGAGCATCTTTTATAAAGGAAATACGGAGCAAAGTGGCTCACATATACTGACTGCCTCAATTGACTTCACACACGCCTCCTAAGTGAGCATCATTAGCTAGCTTTTATAGACAGCAAGAGGAAATGGCAGCTTAGGGCTCTGGATGGTGTTAGTTCACTTCTGATAGATGAATACCTTATTATCTTATTCCCCTTCTTTGAATTTCTGTAAACATGTTAATATTAACACCTGCATTACATTTAGCACCATTCAACTCTTCAAAGCCTGAGTCATCTGTCTTTTCTGGCTACCATGCTCACCATGTGCTGATAACAGCTCCATGTGTAATCATTTGTAAGCCCAAATCTCTGCAGCCCAACTTGCTTTTGTTGTAGACTAGATCAATAGCAGTCCAGCCTCCAGAAGTCTAGTCTATGTCTTCATTTGAAGGGTCTCTCTGGGGTGATGCCAGTTGGTCAGAGCAGGGGATGTCAGCACGCTCATGTCAGAGGGATTACTGTCATTACAGTGACCTCTCGCTTCTCTGAAGGGTCAAGAGTTTAGGATGTAGGTATCTCAAGAGTTTAGGATGTAGGTGCCACCTACCTTGCCTGGAGCTTCCTGCTACTCTGTCGTTGGAGTCAACGATAGGCAAGGAGACAGAAGGAACACACAGAGAAGGGGAAATTCAGATCTGTATGCTGTTTGCACAGTGAGTTGCAGATATTTTCAAAATCCCCAGGAAGCAGCCCAAACGAGCCAGGGAGGTGGGGGTTGCAGGCGAAGCTGGAAGCAGGTGCTTACTTAATTGCTCCAGCTGCTGCCAAGTGTTTGGCACAATTTCCCCCTGGTTTTTCAGTTATTGGCACAGGCACTCATTTCATTTTTCAGCCAAAGCATCTAGGAACTCTTCCCTCTCTTCCTCTCAGTTTTACAGGAAAGCAAGCAGGCAGTTTTTCTTTCAAAAATTGCAAATAAACCCAATTCCTTAGACATTATTATTTGCCTCAAAACACATCAACTATAGAAAGGGAAATTAGCTTAAATGTAATTTGATGTTTGATTTGATTTCACCAATGTTGCTAAGGGTTGAAATTTTAATTTGCCTCAGAAGGTTTGATCCAACACTTCTGACCGGCTGATGGTTTTGATTTCTGAATTGTTGTCTGAGCCCGTCTCCTCCTCAGCCGTTATTGCTTGAAGAGACAATCATTCCCCCACTGGTGTGGCACATTTGGTTTGCTATCTGGCTTCCCTTTAAATCTGGAAGGCAAATATTGCAAAAATATTGACTTCGGGTTCTTTTACATCTTATCATTCTACAAATATTTATGAAAAGTAAAAGTCATGTTGAAACCGTGTGTGAACAATGCCAAAGCCAGGCTAAGCAACTAGGAGGAATACGGAAGTATGTGAGATGTGGTCTTTCCTCTTCAGCAGGTTTGGTCCCTAAAGGAATGTAAACTGAGAATGAGGGACCGTGACTTGGTTCAGGAAGAAGAACCATTGTGGTGTGGTAGAGAAAGGCCCGTGCATATCAATTACTGCTGATGGCAGATAAAGAATGTGAACATTCTTTATTTTTTCCCCTTTCTACAATAATTCTGCTTGGAGAATGCTACTCAATTGTCATTGTCATTATTATTATTATTATTATTATTGCTATTCAATTATTGAATTGATGAAGATGTTTGCATTTTAGGTACTTTTAATCTGACCAGTGAGCTCTGGGTTCATTGACAGACCCTGTCTCAAAAAAAACGAGGTGGGCCGGGCGGTGGTGGCGCACGCCTTTAATCCCAGCACTCGGGAGGCAGAGGCAGGCGGATCTCTGTGAGTTCGAGGCCAGGCTGGACCGACAGCCTCCAAAACAATACAGAGAAACCCTGTTTCATAAAAAAAAAAAAAAAAAAAAAATGAGGTGGACTTCTGGACCCCACAGGTGTACATATGCATGTGTACACACATGAAAACACACAAACCCAAAACAATCTCCCTCACACATTGCTAGACATGCCCTCCAGAGTTTCTGATGCAGTTTCTAACTAAGGTGCTGCCTTAAGTGAGGGTCTGACATGCTCCAGGGTGGAGTTTGCTCTGGGGTCGCACTGCCAGCTTTTGCTATGACTCCTTCCTGAGTTCTCATGGATAGAGTGGCTAGCTTCTCATAAGCAATCTAGTGTCCGTCCTTGGAACTTCCCTCCCGTCCTCTCTGCGGGCTAGCTCTCAGTCCCGTTTGTTTCCTTCCACGCTTGCTGTCTGCACCACGGATATCTTACTGGTATTTCATCCGTCACCCCTAGTCATCGCTATTTAATTAACCTCCTCTTGCAAGTATAACCGGCCTTGTATCAATCCTATTGCAAAATTTCCTTTTGAATTTATAATCTTCCTCTCTTCTTTTGAGTCTTTATCCATGTTATTCCCATCTTAATTCCTGGAAAATCTCCTCTTCTTCTCATACCCAATGGGATTTCTTTTTTAATTAAAAAATGTATGCCTGTATATGTGTCTGTGTGTGTGTGAAAGAGAGAGAGACAGAGACAGAGACAGAGAGACAGAGAAAGAGGGGACATGGTGCCGTGGCACATGCATGGATGTCAGGGGGAAATTTTATACAATTTTCTCCTTTATAATTTTCTCTTTTTACCTTTACCTGGGTTCCAGGGATCAAAATCAGGCCCTAAAGTCTGCACAGCAGGCACCCTGACCTGTTGAGCCCTCTCACTAGTCCCTGGTGAATTTCTTTACTGTATAATAACTGTTAGCTCTCTGACTCCTGATTGTGTTGCAAGCATGTGCTAAGCACTGCATAGTCTGTGGACAGAAATATCTTATGTGAAGAGTACCCTAACTCAACCTTAGAAATGGATTAGGTATTGCTTTATGGATGAAAACAAACAAAATAGGCTTAGGGGAAATAAATAACTTACCTAATAGCCAAATGTTTTAAAACACTGTAGTTACAGGAACGTCCCCTGTCCATGGAAGATGGGTGCCATCTACAATTGCACATAACATTCAACCTTATGTTAGCTGTGTTTTTGTCTCATACATATATACTATGGTAAAGGTGAATTTGCAAATTAGAGACTGACAAATCAATAATAAAACTGAGTAACCATAACCATACTGTGAAAAAAGTAATATGTTTATACACTGAGGATTTCATCACCAGAACTGTAAACTGACAAGAGGACTATTCAAAGTTATGGTTAAGCAGGAGGTTTTTATTGTAGACAGGAAAGATGGTACAGCTAGAGGCATCTGGAAGAGTCCAGAGCAGAGAGAGAGAAAGTAGGAGACTGGACATGGCCAGCAGACTAGACCTGAGAGATGGAGAAAGGAAGAGGGGGCAGGGAAGATGAGAGAGGAAGACAGAGAGTGTAGGTAAAGGAAGACAAGAAGAGTGCATGGCTGAAATAGCAGGGTTATAAGGAGAATGAATAACTGCGGGAGGGGGAGCCCATGAGCTGGAGAAATTTAGGGTAAGGGGCAGGGTGAGAAGAGCCAAGATGCCAGCATGGACTCTGAAATACGGAACAGGTACTTGGTACTGAGGGGGCCTAGAGGCCACCACATGCTTTCATATGCTAATAGGTACCACAGACAGCCATTTGTCCCTTCTGTCAGTGGTAAGGGAAAGCAGAACCAGTTTCATAAATTCCTGAGGAATGTTGGCTTTTGTTTAACTGCCAAAATTTGGACCTGACAATGTGAATATGCTCTCTCACTTTCAAAAGATCTTCCGGATCCGTATTAAGAATTTTTACTTAAAAGAATCACTTTCCCACTTCTCTTTGGAGTGTCTGGATTGCCAACATCAATAGTCTTGCACTTTGGGGACTTCTAAAGTAAAACAAAGGTTGCTTGACTATAAACACTCTGGTACAATATTTCATCGGATAATGGGGGCCGGGGCCCCACTCAGTGACCAACAGGCAAGTAATAAATGCAGTATGCATACACTGGATGTAGGAACGGTTTGTTCAACCAGTCTAGATGGAGCCAGCGAATAAAATGAAGACATGACGGCCCCAAGGTATGGATGAAGGTTTTACTGCAGGTTTGAGGGAGAGGCATCTGGAGGAGTGCAGACTGAACTGAGCCACACTGCAGGGAAGCTACAGAGAAAGAGAAAGGAGGGGGGGCCAAGTGGACCAAGAGAGCCAAGAGCGTGGGGGGAGAGAAAGAGAGAGACAGACAGACAGACAGACAGACAGACAGACAGACAGACAGAGACAGAGAGAGAGAGACAGACAGACAGACACACACACAGACTGAGAGAGAGACAGAGACAGAGAGACAGAGACAGACAGAGAAAGACACAGAGACTAAGAGAGAAAGAGAGATAGATAGAGAGACACACAGAGAGAGACAGAGACAGACACACAGAGACAGAGAGAGAGAGAGAGAGCTTGTCTCTGAATTAGCAGGATTATATAGGAGAGAATCTGGGGGAAGGGAAGGGAAGTCCCTGTGCTGAAGATATTTAGGGTAGGGGCCATGGTGAGAGGCGCCAAAAGGAGACAGGAGTCTGTAACTGGTGCTTGTGTTCAGAGAGCCAGTATGTGCTTTGGTGTGCTCATAGCCACCTCAGGCATGTTTCCTGAGTTTCTTTGGGACCTGACAGCCAGGTAAGCTGAGATTCTGATACTTACCATAACAAACAATCTAGGACTCATTAGTTATTTATTTCTGGGATTTTTCCATTTAAGATTTTGCACAAAAGTTGATGCAGGTTAGTAAAACCATTGAAGGCAGAACTCAAGAGGCAGCAGGAGCCTTCCTGAATACCCATGAAATCTCCCAGTCCTGGTTCCAGCAGACATTACCAGCACCCACTGAATTCTTACCAGCCCCGAGTGACTCTCATGTGGGCGCTCTCAGAACCACATTTTGAGAAACAGTCCTCTGTATTGACATAATTGGCAGCATCCTTTCTTTAAACACTTCCCTTTGGTTGCTATGATACAGCCCCCCTTCCCAAGTTCTGTGGGCTCTCCAATTCTGTTCTCCATCTCCCATTTCCTCTCCTGTCTATATCACTGCCCTCAGACTCTCTTGCTCCTTCCTCTGCTGTCTGTCCCCTGGGGCATGGCTCCAACTTGGGCAGATGGTTCCCAACCTTGCCCTTCTAGTGCCAACCTCCTGGTGAGGTCTATGGAGCTGCACAGACTGATTTTGGAACAAAGATGCACTTCATTCAGCCTGGATCCAGGACTTAACTGTGAGGCAGGTGACACTGACCCTCCTGCCCATCCCCCCCTCCATCCCCTCCACCCTGTTCTTGGCCTTTCCTCTTCCTCTAAGATCTCTGTGCTTTGCAGTTTACTAACCAAATCAGTTCAGCTGGGAAGAGCTGATCATTTTACACTGTCACACTAATGTGCCAACTCTCCCAGTCATTTGCATTTGTAAAGCCTTTTATGGTCTTTGTGGTTTCAATCCTGTTATTTCAGGCTTCCCTCAGCAGATAGGAGGATTCAGAAGGGCCCTCACTAAGGGGAAAGGAGAGCTGCTTTGATAAGGGTTGGCTCTTCTCTTCTTGGACATTTTTAGGACTGAAAACCAGCCAATCAAACTACTGGGCAGGCAGGGCTTGAGTCCTGGGCAAGGATAAGCAGTGTGGGTAGCTTCGGCTGGCCTGCCCCTAGAAGCACAGAGGGTGAGGGCAGACTATCGAGTTGGCCACTGGGCTGATGCCCTG